CTAGTCTATAGTCTAGTCTATAGTCTAGTCTATAGTCTAGTCTATAGTCTAGTCTATAGTCTAGTCTATAGTAGTCTATAGTCTAGTCTATAGTCTAGTCTGTGGTCTAGTCTATAGTCTAGTCTATGGTCTAGTCTATAGTATAGTCGAAAGTCTAGTCTATAGTATAGTCGAAAGTCTAGTCTATAGTCTAGTCTATAGTCTAGTCTATTGTCTAGTCTATAGTCTAGTCTATTGTCTAGTCTATAGTCTAGTCTATAGTCTAGTCTAGTCTATAGTCTAGTCTATAGTCTAGTCTATAGTCTAGTCTATAGTCTAGTCTATAGTCTAGTCTATAGTCTAGTCTCTAGTCCATAGTCTAGTCTATAGTCTAGTCTATAGTCTAGTCTATAGTCTAGTCTATAGTCTAGTCTATAGTCTAGTCTATAGTCTAGTCTATAGTCTAGTCTATAGTCTACTCTATAGTCTAGTCTATAGTCTGCTCTATAGTCTAGTCTATAGTCTAGTCTATAGTCTAGTCTATAGTCTAGTCTATGGTCTACTCTATGGTCTAGTCTAGCTTGTGGTCAGGTCTATAGCCTAGTCTATAGTCTGGTTTAAAAGATAGTCTATAGTCTATTTTATAGTCTAGTACTACTTTTAACTGAATCTTAGTCCTAGATATAAAAACATCCATACAATTTTGGGACAATTAAACCACATGATTTCCAATAAATTACTCAACAATTAAATTTACCAAAACCACACATATAAAATTAAAATTTATTTATCTCTATCGAGACAATAACAATTAGCCTGTTTCTCAAATCATAGAATTCTTCATTATTGTTTCTTTTCTCGTAAGAGAAAAAAAAGTAATTACTGTCATTTAACCAATAAACAATATAAACAATAAAATCATTCACTTAAATACTTGTCCTAGCAAAAGAACGAGTAAAAACAATAAAAACACCCTCGCCAAAATGTTCAATTATTTCTAAAGGAGTGTAATATCACAATAATTGTTTGTGTGTGTGTGATGATTTGATTATTTACCGTTAACCAACACCCCACCAAAAACAACAACAACAACCATAAACAATAAAAACCTTTTCAATTACATGGCCTTACAACTCATTTAGTAATGAAAAAAAAACAACAATGTAAACACATTGTTGTTGTTTGTGAGCATAGGAGAAGGGGTTGTTTCTCTAATTTTATCTGCAGTAAGAGAGTGAGTGGTTGCTTGTTGTTTAATTTGACTGGTTTGATTTTAATTTACAATACATTAAACACTTTATTGTCTGTTTTTATTGATTTAGTTCTTAATCGTTTATGTTTTATTCTATATTTAATTAATTGCTGCGTGTTGGATCGTATGTGTGTTTGTGTGTGTGACTCTTTCAATCACAGTTCTTTTGTATTTATTGTTTTTTTTTTTTTTTTGCTTGCACATGCTTTTTAACTATGATCGATGGTGACCGAGCAATTTGTGGTTGAAGTTATTGTAGGTGAGACATTTTTATTTAAAAATGTTTGAAGTTTTTGATTTCTAAATGTTATATGCAGTTTATGTGTTTATTTGTTTGACCCCAACATGACTTTAAATTGTTTAATAGACTTGTCATTTTTAATCGTTACAATCATTAAGCGCATCACGCACAATTTGGGGTTAACAACTGGGTGAGCAATATTTTTGAGCAGATGTTGAGTTTCATTAGGAGTATATTACAAGGATAATAACATTTAGAGAAGTCTAAATACTGGACTATAGAAAAGTCTATAGTCTAGACTACAATCTAGAACTATGGAAATGTGTATAGTCAGGACTATAGTCTAGTCTATAGTCTGAACTATAGTCCGGACTAGAGTCTAGCCTATATTCTGGACTATGGGCTATCCTATAGACTGGACTATAGTCTAGTCTGTAGTATGGACTATAGTTTAGTCAGCAGTCTACACTATAATCTGTATAGTCAGTAGTCTGGACTATAGTCTAGTCTATAGTCTGGACTATAGTCTAGTCTATAGTCTGGACTATAGTCTAGCCTATAGTCTGGACTATAGTCTAGCCTATAGTCTGGACTATAGAATAGTGTATAGTCTGGACTATAGTGTAATCTATATTGTAGTCTATAGTCTGGACTATAGTGTAATCTATATTGTAGTCTATAGTCTGGACTATATTCTAGTCTATGGTCTTAGTTATAGACTAGTCTATAGTCTGCACTATAGTCAAGTTATAGTCTGGACTATAGTCAAGTTTATAGTCTGGTCTATATTCTGGACTATAGTCTAATCTATAGTCTAGTTTTAGTCTATAGTCTAGTCTATAGTCCAGTCTATAGTCTAGTCTATAGTCTAGTCTATAGTCTAGTCTATAGTCTAGTCTATAGTCTAGTCTATAGTCTAGTCTATAGTCTAGTCTATAGTCTAGTCTATAGTCTAGTCTATAGTCTAGTCTATAGTCTAGTCTATAGTCTAGTCTATAGTCTAGTCTATAGTCTAGTCTATAGTCTAGTCTAGTCTATAGTCTAGTCTATAGTCTAGTCTATAGTCTAGTCTATAGTCTAGTCTATAGTCTTGTCTATAGTCTAGTCTATAGTCTAGTCTATAGTCTAGTCTATAGTCTAGTCTATAGTCTAGTCTATAGTCTAGTCTATAGTCTAGTCTATAGTATAGTCTATAGTCTAGTCTATAGTCTAGTCTATAGTCTAGTCTATAGTCTAGTCTATAGTCTAGTCTATAGTCTAGTCTATAGTCTAGTCTATAGTCTAGTCTATAGTCTAGTCTATAGTCTAGTCTATAGTCTAGTCTATAGTCTAGTCTATAGTCTAGTCTATAGTCTAGTCTAGTCTATAGTCTAGTCTATAGTCTAGTCTATAGTCTAGTCTATAGTATAGTCTAAAGTCTAGTCTATAGTATAATCTACAGTCTTGTCTATAGTCTGGACTATAGTCAAGTCTATAGTATAGTCCATAGTCTAGTTTATAGTCTACTCTATAGTCTAGTCTTTGGTACAGTCTTTAGTTTAGTCTATAGTCTAGTCTATAATCTAGTCTATTGCCTACTCTAAAGCCTAGTCTATAGTCTGGTATATATTGTGGTTTATAATCTAGTATATAGCCTATATAGTCTATAGTCTAGACCAAAGTCTATATCATGGAGTAGTTTGTAATCTGTTCTATGGTTTGCACTATAGTCTGGATTACAGTCTAGTCTAGAAAGTGTTTTTGAACCAAATTTCCTACTCCACATCTAACAATTACTTCATCCTTTTAAACATATTCCCGCCGACAATTTTATGCAAATTTCTTAAACTAAACCTTAATACCGAATTATAGTTATTATTCAATTTTATCAATTTATAAATCTCATCATTTTTATACGATTTTGTTTAAACATGCCAAATAAAAATCTACAATTTGAATCTTAATATGACATAAAATATTTGCTTAGGTTTCTTGGCAAAAGCAGCCATATAATCATTTATAAACTTAATATGAAAATTATTATATTTTAAGCATTTTTAATGAATTTATCATTACAATGAAACATACATACAAATACTGTATAAACGGTACAAACATACGGATACACAAGACATAAACATGGTAAGCAATCTTAAATAAGAAAACAGATGAAACCTAATAAACGAAAACGATTTTGGAAACGAAGAAAAAAATGTATGTAATATGTTGTATATGAAAATATAAAAATCCTTAATATTCATACTTAAATGTATGTAAACTTGTATGTTTGAGTATATACATTTTTTTAGTATAAATATAATAAACAACAACTACGTTATGGCAATTATTAAGCTTTTCACGATGTGTCTGTTGGTTAAATATAGAAAAGAAAATAAGTATACAACAAAAACCCAAGGAAATAATGGCCGACTTATAAGTAACACATCCCCTTACTCAACACACACACTCACGTTCATGTTTAACAAAAACTCCATCTCTTTAACGGTACTAATAGGAAATTTAAATATGGGGGAAAATAGAGCGCAAGTTTACACACACATATTTTCTCCTTATTTACGAAACAGTGATGTATAATTGTGGTACTTTTTTTGGGTTTGATGGTGTATAGATAGTGGTACTTTTTGGTTACATATTTTTCGTTATGCCTAAAAGTATGCCAACTTTTTAAGCATTTATTTCTGCTTGGTTTAAAATTAAAGAAATTCATACTTAGTTTTACTTCTACGAATCGACTTTCGAACAATCGTCTTTTTATTGAAAAAAGTCGACTATTTGGTCCTAACGAAGTCGATAAATCGACTATCTATAAGAAAAAAAGTCGAATAATCGACCTGGTACTTTTCAAGTACAAAATGTTATTATGAAAATTAGTACTAAATGTCTCATCCCCAATTCAAGTTACATTCACACAAACAAAAACAATAAATACAGAGAGAGCAGAAAATGAGAGATATTAAATGTAAAGAGAGTTTGCTTTGGATTGGTTGTTTCGTTATAGTAGTTTGTTCTTAACACAAATTGTATGTTGTATTCTTGACAATAAGTTAGAAAGAGAAACAAATTAAAATCATATACGCAGAGACCACACCCCAACGTTGGCAGCATTTTGTTTTTATTTATCAGCAGCAGAAGCAGAAGCTTTTATATCTCCATTGCTCTTTTTCTCCATATTATTTTTTAAAGTAAATGTATGGTTGTTTGTGATAAGTTCAATATCTCTGGTATATGAGCACTTATTATACATAACATCAAATAATATGGATTTAATGGCCTTAAGAGTAAAACACCAAGAACAACATGAAAAAGAAATAAACTCACATATAATAAACAGTTTTTCTTTTCAGCTCTGCGGCCTCATTTAATAAATGACTAGTTATTATCTGCATTAAAAGCAGTTTATAACAATCATACCCAAAGTAAGGAAAAATAAAGAAAAACAACAACAACAACGAAAGCAATATCAACCATCGGTGGCAGCAGCAACATTAAAAGCAATAAAAACAATGATTTCATATAAAAAAAAAAACA